TGTGGACTGCTTGCAGACTGCTGAAGCTTATAGGGAATCCAAATGTTTTGGATTGTTGGGTGTTTCTGTCTCTGCCTTTGTGAAGCGCTATGAGATGACTTGCTGTTGTAAATATGCGCTATACAAATAAAATTGAATTGAATTGAAAGGTGAGAGCGTTTTTATTATGAATCAGGACGTTCATTAGGCCGGTCTGGAGCGCATTCACCAATGGAGCGGGCAGATCAGTGAACAGCTCCTTAAGAAAGTCCTCAGTCTTGTGTTTGTGCAGCATTTCTTGGTGTTGGGTGGGTGGACAACGCCTCTCTTCCCCACTCATTGCTTGTGCAGGCTGCCAACTTTCTACAGCATCTCTTCCTTTGTGTTTTGTTTCTGTTTTTTGTGTGATCACTGCTGTGCAAAACTGGGCCTGCAACCATTTTGTTGGAGGTTTTGGCAGTAAAGTTTAGTCCTGAAATGGAACATATTTTAAACATTTCTACCAAGAGAAGCTGAAAATAGACGCTTCAGCTGTAAGGCTATAGCACTATACATGCTACACTGGTATTACAGGGTTACACTAGGCTAAAGTTGTGGTAATATCCAGAAACACAGTGGTAACAATGAAAATAGCAATTATGTTAATGTTTAATTACTCTAACAGGCTAAAAACTGTGGCACAGACAGGATAGAGATGATGGATCAAACATATAAAGGTATTATTGTAAGTTATTATTACCACCGGTGTCATTATAATAACAAAGATACTGCACTAAACTGCAAGTTAAAATTTAACAAATTAACTCAAACAATTCCTGAGCATTTTTTATTTATTTTTTGCTCCTGACAATTTTTTACTCACATTTCACTTTTTTATTTATTTTTTTAATCATTATTATTGCTCAGACACCATATTGCATTCAGCTATCAGATCACCAAGTGTTTTGCACATTTTTAATTCAGCTGATACAGACTCCATTACTCTTGTTCATTTGGAAAACGGCTTCCTGTGTTTCAGGTTACACATGCAATACTGTTATGTTTCATTTTTACTCAAAAGTTAAGTAACCCTGTTGTAGTTGTTACAAATTAATGTTTTTTTTCTGGAAATACGTCCTGAGAAAATGTTGAATGAAGGTAAGGCAAACTTAAAAGCCAAACAAACCACTTTGACTATGATTGTGGTCAATAGATGTATATGAGCAGGGATTGTTCCAATTGACAAAGTTCAAATTTACAAGCTTTTGCCACACGTGTGTAAAGAAAAGACAGCAGAGTTAATCTTAAAACCTACAATACAATGCGATACAGCCTTTATTAATCCAAAAGAGGGGACATTTTCATTGTTACAGCAGCAAAGGGGAAACATTAAGAAAATATTAGTAGAATAATAAAAATAAAGTACTAGTTAGGATTCTCTGAGTTGCTCTGGATGAACATAACAATATTGCACGTATGAATGTTTTTACACAGATTCCTCCATGAGCAGAAATACTGATAGAGAAGTAATAACATTGCACAGATTTGTCTATAAGAAGAAAAATAACATTACACAGAACAATTGACATTGCAGTTTTTAAATGTACAAAATATTCCTAATTCACAGCTATGAATGTGTTCATATTGCACCACAAAGACAGCAGTATGACAGCTTTTTTGGTGTGCGGTCTACTGGGAGCAGTGCTGGTTATAAAGTGTGAGAAACGTAACAACGAGTCCTGTAGGTATATATAGATAACTACAGAAATATGCAGCAAATGAGCCTCAATAGCAGAAGACATTTACTCTCGTATCTGACTGAGCTTTGAGAAAAAACGTCCCGTTCTCTCCTCCTGTGCCTCAAAGGCCGACAACAACATGACATAACCCCTTGACATGAATCAGTAGTGTGCTGTTTAGGAGCGTGCAGATCTTCTGAAAGGTGATCAAGTGCGACCAAAGGCTGCAGCTTGTACCGGCTTGAGTGCGGTCAAACCTGGCCCACTTTGTCCTGCCGCAGTGAGGGGGGCCTTTAAATAACTCGCTGGGTACGAGGCATCGGCTGGGCTCTGGGCTCGCTCTGTCCCGATAGCACACTTCACATCCCCATCTGGACTGCCATCCCCCTAACTGAACCCATGACCCACTTACAGGTCTGACATCATAGTAACAGTTTATAGCATACAGTTACAATAGACGTACACATGGAGCGTCGTTTTTGGCCAACAAAAGGTGCCATTTGCAAACAGTTCTTGCTATTATCGCAGTAAGATGTTACATTTAGCACATTTTCTGCTGAAGATTTGTTTACTTTTTTTCTGCACAGCCTGAGTTAATAGTTTCATACAGAATACCTTTTAAAACCATAAATACAAGGATTTAGGATTCTGATCAGTTCCTTGCAAATGTTCACAGTACATGCATTATCCTGCAGGCGAGACTCATGTCTGTCCAAAAGAGATTAAAGACACACTACTGTTACTGCTTTAGCAAACACAGATCCAGCAGGACTAATACTCACATAGGTCAAATATTACTTCCGATTATATTTAGAAAACTGATACCGAGACCACATCGGCTTAGCTTCCTTGGAGGCCGTGATTTTGGCGTGTCACAAGCACCGTCCAACCATCTCTCTCTGCTCTGCGATGGCCTTCGGTGAATCTGGGTTAGGCCAGAACTGGAACCACTAATCCTGTTTTCGTCCGGTCAAACTCATGTAAGAATTGCAAACATCCGGGCAGAGCAGTGGCGGCCGGTTTTTCAAAGGCAGAATGACGCATGTTGTTGGCTCCACAACAGGGGTGTTTGGGAATGAACTGCGGCCACAAAGAAATAATCAGTCTGTCGATCTGTCTGTGAGCCCATTTGTCCATTTAGAACTTGATAAAAAACAACCCTGGAGGTATGGATGTATGGATGGCGATGATGATGGCCTGTATGTTGGTAGGTCAACTATTTTGGTCCAGACTTAAATATCTCAACAACGACTGCATAGATTACCATAAAAATATAGAACATACATCAACAACATGAAAACCACTGATGGGTGTAGTGAAGGACTTTAATCATCATGTTACAATGAGATGTTCTGCTTAGAAACCTTGGATCTGGCATTCTGTTTTGGCAACTACCAAGAGCTACAGACATCGAACTGACCTCCAAAATCTATAGATGCAAACTGGATCGAGCATCTGCTGGAGCACAACATGGTCAAATCTACTGTGCATTAGTGTCACCCAGCTATTCACTCAGGTTCATTCATTTCAACGTCTGTCCAATTCTTTGATTTGGACCAAATCCCTTCAAAACTCTTGAGATTTCAACTTTCCAATAAATGAAAGCAATTCTATGCTTAAGTAGAGTCATTCAAGCTTGGCTCTAGACTCCTTTCAGCAACTGCTAATTGACCCGATGATACACAAGAAGTTCACTGATTTCCTCCTTCATTCAGTCATGCACACACACACATTCCAGTGTTCAGCAAGAAACTGCCTACATGAGCTTTTCAAAGTCCGGTGTGTTCGACGGGAGCTGCTCTGCTTTCTGAATGAGTCAAAATGAAGACCACACCACCCACTCTGTGTTCTGTTTGTTTTTAGTCAGAAAATAAAGACAACATGCAGAGTGTGTGTTCATACATGACCACTCAACAGGTAGATTTGCACTTCTGGACACGTATTACAACCGGTTTGTGTTTTGCATTTTCTTGAAGAAAATGAGTTTGTAAATAAATGTTAGTCATTCAGCAGAAGTGTTTGTTCCTTACAGCAACATCATCACAGCGTAAGAAATACTTGGTAGGAACAAAATAACAAACCCGCAGAAATCTGTGTGTTCTGATCTGTCTTGTTGACATCAGCTGTGCATAAACCAGCTGGTTCTCTCAACACCAGCGATGATCAGCTGACCGCGGACACTTTGTAGGGGAAGAGCATGTAGTCTCCAAATGCCAAGTATCTACAGTGACACCGTGAAAGGGAGGGGGAGGACTAGAGCTGAGCAGTGAGCAATAGTTCACTAGATGTGGGATACAGAGTGGGATCTGCAGCAGAACAAGATCAGATAGCAGTTATACTAAGAAAGTGTGAGACACGTGGAAGAGGAGAGACTGTCGACTTCCCATGACTCCAAAATGAGCAGTGAGGAATTGATTTTTTGATTGGATTGGACCCAACAGGCCACGTGAGCCCTATATTCATTTAATTTGGGATAGCAGTGATCAAGTTGTTGTGCTATTCTGAGGGTCAAAATTATGACTTCAGACATTCACTGAAGTCGTTTTGTAATTTCTTATCTGTTTCCGATGAACTGGATATCAGTCGAGTGGTAACTTTGGAATACTTGTGAGTGATTGTGATGCTCTGCTTGTTTAGTGGAGAAAGAAATGCATTAAAACCAGGAGTCAGAGACATGAAGAAACTCTGTGGCCGTTTACTTTTCTGCCTCAAGAGGATAGCAGGGTTCTACTCTTAACAAAAGAAAACAGGTGACGGAAGCCCAAGGAGAAACATGCAGCAGTTTGGCTAAGAAACTGGGAGATAAGGAAAGTTGGAAAACAACTTTTATTGGGAACATTTGCACACAAGGTAAGCAGCTTGTGATTTCACAGTATAAATATAATACGGCAGACATCCTGTCTTAGATTCACCGTCTCTTGTGGTTCAGTGCAAATATATCTTGAGTGAGAACAGGTTCTGCTGTGATAAACGTCAGCAAGGGAAAAAAGACTCCTTGGTGTTAAGATCGTAGCCCAGCAGGCACAGTGTGGCTCCTGAGAGAGGCGAGGAGCAGTCGCACAATTTATTAGATATTAATATCCCTTGGACACTCGACATCCTGCTTCCTAGCAACTGAACCGCTGAGGAACTGCGACTGCTGTGGAAAACACACCCAGACACTCATTCACAGGCAAAAAAAAAAAAAAAAAAAAGGTTGTCAGTTGTATGGACTTTAAATTCTTTGTTAATCTGCACAAGAAGTGTCAGTTAAAATCATCATCTACCTGCTGTTCTGTATGTTCCAGTTGTAGGCTGTTGTAAGCTATAGAGCATCCACAGTGCAGCTTTTATGACCCCATTTGAAAGTTTGACTCCATCTTGAAGAAAACAAAAAAAAATTGTGCTATCCAACCAGTTGTGTGCAATATTCTACCATAAAAGACCTAAAATGCACCAGTAAGCGTCTCACAGCCAGTTGCAGTTCTGATCTGTAGTTGAGGCGTATTTCTGCAGTGCAATATGTGACAGCATTTTATGACTTGTAATGCAGCTGTGTCATGTGAGCGAAACCTCTACTGACAGACACAAAGAATCACCACAGATGAACATTAACAGAGCAACATCACTCCTGATAACTGAAGTGGCCTGAATGTCGCTCAGCACAGAGGATGCAGGAACTAAATTATCTGCAGCATCTTTTGCTGTCTTGGTTCCTAATGCAGGTATTAGAGGATCTGTGGATGTTAAAAAAAACTACTGTTGGTCTACCTGTCCACATATCTCTAAATCTACTGGATGAAAGAGATATTTATGGTTCCCAGAGGATCAATCCTTTTTTCTGGTCGTTTTTTAAGGGAAATGCCTTAAGGGCGATGGACGCCAAGAAGTTTTGCTTTAATGCTCTCGTCAGAATGAATTTGATGATCTTGACTTTTTAAATTTCAACTAGCCCAATACTTTGATTTATGTACAAATACTTTTACTACTAATGATGCTGTCATAAGCCTCAGCTTCAGTTTATGTACTATTCTAAGCAGTAAATACTAGCATACTAACATGCCGTTCTAAAATACTTAAACTAAGCATGATTCCTGGTAAATAGTAGCTTTTTAACTCTGGGTGAAAGCACTACTTTACTACAGCCTCACATAGCTGCTAGCGTGGCTCCAGACTCTTCAGATTGTTTATTACAAACTTAAATTATGGACACTGTAATATTAGACATGCAGTTTGACTCAAAAATGTTTCAAGAAATATAAAGTTTTCTGTGTAAAATTAGAAGTTTTGAAGGGTTTTGCTTCAGTTTAGTGAAGATCAGATGTGGTTGGATCACCCAACAATCTATAATCACAAACTGTTGAAGGGAATTATTTTTTGTCTGCCACAAATTTTTCAGAAAAGAGTAAAGATTAAGACCTAAGGGCCTGAGGTGTACACATAGAAAAAATGCATAATAAGCATATAAAATACAATAATGATAAAGGTGGTGCAGTATGTAAAGCATACTACTGTTTACACTTTTAAAAAAAGCTTAAAAAAAAAACACTTTGATCCAGATCCAGAGGTCCCCCTTTTGAAATTTCGCATCAATTTCTACCATCAAGCAATTTGTATGCGAGGCTACTTCTACTACTTCTGCCCCATCTTTTTAAGCCTGTATCACTTTCCAGTTCAGCCTCAGGGGGGACTCACACAGACGCATCACAGTATACTCCTGCGACTCTGATAGTTGTGCCAGCTGGAGGAAACAGAAGATACGTCACATAAAATGGCAGGGCATTGGATTAGCTGGCTATTTCTGTACCTTGTTGATCAGTGGAACGTGTATTGTATATTACCTAGGCTATCTCTAACAGGGCAGGAGCGGGAAAGAAAACGAGACAGAATACCTGAAATATGCGATAAAAAAGAAGACAGTCTGAAATGTATGTTTAAATGTTATTTATGCAGTAAGAATTAGTCAGCTAGAAAACCTTGAATATTGTATTTTGAATTAATATTTCTGACTAAATAGAGAAGAACAATGGAGAGTGAGAGCTTTGTTAGCTGGCAGCTATTGTTACAAATCAGTCTTAAAGCTATTAAATATGTGAGTTTAAGAGAATTCTACAAATTTTAATCAATGATGGTCATGCAGTGTTTGTTGAAAATCAGTTTTCATGAGTAATATTGGGTATCTGGGAGAGAACAGAGAGTAGAGTTAATAGAGAAAATGTATTTAATCATGTTGAATGGTTACAAAAATGGGTTAAAACTGAGCTTGACTGATGAACATGATGCACAATGTTTATGACTACCTTCTTCAGAGGCTTCATGGTCATCATAAGTCATTGCTTAAACTAAATTAGTGCCTTCTTTTCTTGTATAAAAAATGCAGTGTGTTAATATTCTGCCTGTCCTTCCTCTACAGAATCGACAATCTGTGCTGGACAGAGCTGTGCACTCTGTGTGAGCCTGGTCAGCTTTGTATGAGCCGGGCTGATAGCGTGAAGCCCTGTGGCTGCGTCCCACTGAGGCATGAGTGTGGGAAGAGCCCACCACCACACTTTCCTGTCCTGTGAAGAAGAAGGCCTTCGACTAAGCATCATGCCAGCTGTAGGCAGCTTTGGAAATGGCAAGATCCACACGAGACGTAAATACCACAGCCGCTTTGTCAGCAAGACCGGCCAGTGCAACGTCCACTTCTCAAACATGGATGAGAAGTCACAGCGATACATATCCGATATTTTCACAACTTGCGTGGACATCCGCTGGCGATACATGTTCCTGCTGTTCAGCCTGGCTTTTGTGGTGTCCTGGCTGACATTCGGTTTGGCGTTCTGGGTCATCGGCCTCCTGCACGGCGACATGGACCATCCAGCGGGGGATGACAGTTTTGTTCCCTGTGTTACGCAGGTCAACACCTTTGTGGCAGCCTTCCTGTTCTCCATCGAGACCCAGACCACCATCGGGTACGGCGCTCGCTGTGTGACGGAGGAATGCCCTGCAGCTGTTTTCATGGTGGTGTTTCAGTCTATCATGGGCTGCATCATCGACGCCTTCATGATTGGTGCCATCATGGCCAAGATGGCGAGACCCAAAAAGCGCGCAGAGACGCTACTGTTCAGCCACAACGCGGTTATTGCTTTACGTGATGGGAAGCTGTGCCTCATGTTCAGGGTTGCCAATCTGAGGAAGAGCCACATTGTAGAGGCTCATGTGCGAGCTCAGCTGGTGAAGCCCCGCTACACAGAGGAAGGCGAGTACATCCCCCTGGATCAGATTGACATGAACGTGGGCTACGATAAAGGCACAGACCGCCTGTTTCTGGTTGCACCCCTCACTGTCATACACGAGATCGATGAAGAAAGTCCGCTGTTCGGCATCAGCAAGCAAGATCTGGAAACATCCGACTTTGAGATCGTGATTATTCTTGAAGGACTGGTGGAGGCCACAGCCATGACAACACAGGCTCGCAGCTCCTACTTGGCCTCGGAGATCCTGTGGGGTCACCGCTTCGAGCCCGTCATCTTTGAGGAGAAGAGCCAGTACAGGGTAGATTACGCCTACTTTCACAAAACATTCGAAGTGCCGTCCACCCCGAGGTGCAGCGCCAAGGACATGGAGGAGAGAAAATTCCCAACATCTGGCGCCAACTCCTTCTGCTACGAGAATGAGCTGGCCTTCATCAGCAGGGACGAGGAGGACGAGGGAGACATGGAGAAAGAGCAGGACAGGAAGGGTTCATCGGAGCTGGGGAATAAGTTGAGCGTCCCTGGACACGACCAGACGCCCTCCCGTAGAGAATCAGCGATTTAACTGTTTTGTCGTCTTTGGATGCAGAGCAGCGCCGTGTGGAGCGCCCTGTGACTGTCACTCCGCTGACACGAGGACACCACTGAAGAGATTTACTGCTGAGCACCAGCAGAACTGATCTCCATCATGTAAGCAGGAGTGAAACTCATTGTACTTTTCCCTGGATGAACTTCTTTTCTTTCCTGAGATGGTTATTGAGCTTTATCAAATGCAATGAGAACTGTCATGTTTATCATAGTCATAAAGTGCATGACAATAGCATAGTTTTCTATAAACATTTTGAGAACTGTTTGATGGGACTTTCTTCAGATGCTGTTCCTCAAATACGTGATTTACGACTATGTGTGTAGTGACAGAAAACCTGAAGAACATTACTCCATCCGGTAGAATCAGAGGTGGCGATCAAAAGTGGATTTTCATCTTTATGATATAACTTACATGAACAAAAAGACTAAATATTCTACATAATACGTTGCCAGTGGCTGACTTGGCTAGTTTGCACACATGACTTCTTCACTTAAATACAGTTTGACCTGCACGTTGCAATGGGGGACATGTGACAAAGTAGAGTTCTTCATCACAAGAAGGGAAAATACACCTGATGGTACATCATATGTATGTTTTGCATAGTATTTGGTAAAACTATTCATTTCATTGTTTTCATTTCAACTGGTGATGTTAAGTATTTTTATTTCTATTCAGTTTTGCAGTAACTTTGTGGCATTGAGAGACTCAAATGACACACACAAAGTGCAGCTTATTCAGATGATGGAGGTTGATTTGTAACTACGGCTCCTTGGTTATTATTTCTAATTTCATGAGTTGGTTAAAATTCAGTGTCCAGTTGATTCATTTTAAAGCAGGAAAGGTGTCCTAACATCATCATACCTGCTTAATGAATAACAAGGACTAAGGCGAAGAAGTCCCAGCCAAAAGGTTTGCATTGACAAGCTCAAGATCCACGTGGAAAACATGCAAATAAAGAAATTTCATTGATCCGTGAAGCTTTACTTACAATCTAAAAGAAAGATTTCTGAGCCGTAAAGTATTTGTTCCCTTTAACACTGCAAGAAATTACGTTACCTCAAGTCATGGTTGCTGGAGAGAAACTAACCCAAATCCAATAAACTGAAGGTCAGAGTTGCTAATATTAGCACACACTGCTATACGGTAGCATCCAGCCCTGGCATCCGCACAGTGAGGAAATACTAGACAGCTGATGAGCGAGTTATAAACAGGCCTTTTTGAACATAACCACTGACTCCACATTAAAAAAAAAAAAAGTGTAATTTGAAATGCATGAGTCACGCAAAACATTGTGATAAGCAATTAAATCACCTTCTTCTGTTCATTTTATGCCTCCATTAGTCTGAGATTAGTGATATCAGCACCTTTAAACGACACTATTCATTGTTATTGGACTCTCCTTTTTCATTTTTTTATTGTGTTATCGTAACTAAATCGGTGACATTAAAACAACAAAAAAAAGTCCAACATAACCTTTTGCCACATTGTAATTTGTTTACTAATCAGGCACCTTGAGACAAACATTTGGTGCCATTTAACCACCAAAACAAAATGGAGATAGTGATTGAAACATGACACAATTATGCAAAATGAACATAATATAATAGTCATGCGAAACGGAAGTCTTGAAATGCAGATTAACATGTGGAGACGTCTGCTGGTCAGACCCACTGAATCTGCTGTGGTTAGACAATCCGAAGCAGGTTTAGCAAGTTCTGGTTCAGAATAAATTCCCTCTCAGATACAATAAAATATGTGCCCCGGAAGAAAATAAGAATTAAACTGCACATTAAACTGTAAATGCTACAAGCCATCATCAAAACCAAAGAACAAGCACCTCGAGTTCATCCCTTCCTGTGACCTCAAGATATAAAAGCACCGCGAGGACGAGGGAGACTCTGACTGTAAAAGCCCACAAATTGTAATCAAAGACTTGACACATAATTTGTGGAGAGGCCCCCATAGGCTGAAGAAGAGTCTAATTAAAGACATCTGAAAGGAAACCTTGTCACATGCTGGCCTGGGAGAGACGGAGTGGAGTAATAGTGCATCACATGTTCGCTCTATATTGAGTTAAAAGGCTGAATCCATAAAATATTGACCAAAGGGGGAAACCCTGACACAACAGCGCTGTCTGAGGAGATGCTGTCTGTCTTATCAAGTGCTTTTAAGTTAATATGAAGCCACTTTATTGGTGATTGGAGAATGTTTTTGGATTTAAATTGAACATTTTTCATGCAAAATTTGACATTTTTGTGACATTAATATCAGGAAGTCTGTACAAACGCTCACTCAGATGCAACATGTCAGGTTGTGTCTCGTGATTCAGCAGGAAAAACATGCAGGAGATGATGAAAAGAAAGCTTCACTGTTAAATGTCGACTTGGAGATCAGTGTAAACAAATGACACCTTAAGAAAACTGCTGCATTTGGTTGTTTATTGAAGTGAATAAATGTGTTTCATACACAGAAGACAGAAGAACGTCCTGCTCTCACTCTGACCTGCTCATGTTGTGATCGACGAATTTAGTTTAGAGTTACTAACCTTCAAACGAAAATGGATTAGATGCACTTTACAGAGAAAATTTGGTTCAAGTATCTGTTGATATCACTTCATGTTGTCTTTTTTCTGTTTTCTTGTGGCGTCATTATTATCTTTCTCTTTCTTTTTCGTGCTTTTCCTGCCACTAGGTAAGGAATAACAATACTGGGTCAGACTGTGTGATCCCAGGTGAGATGAATTTGTTTTCTCTCCGCATTTATCAAACTAAGAGTTCCATGTGGGTTAACTTATACACCTGACTGCCATTTCAGCACATTTCAACCCGTTTGTATTTATGTATTGCTGACTTGTGCTGAAAACGTGGGGAATAGGCTCGTTGTGGAAAACTAATGGTGGTTCTGTTGCCATTTGCACAAAGAGCAAGGTCAAGGATGAACTCATTTGTACATTTGTCAGGCTGATATTGTAAATAAATCTTTTTTTGGTTTACCACTAATACATTATTTAACAAAAGTGAGTTTCTTGAGAAAAACTGGAAACTCTTCTTTGCTTAATAGACTGAAATAATATCCACTGAGTTGAACTACTTTGACCTCGTTTTGCCGTCTTCCACTAACCTGAATCGATTTTTAGTTTGTTGTGTGAGACAACGATTTAAAAAAAGCAACAACGAAATCTCCTGTTGATTACCACAATAAAAAATGTCTCACAAAGCCCAAAACAGTTTTCTTTCTCCCTCCTTGGTGCCCAGACAGGGGTCATTTAAGAATAATAAGCATCTACTGGGTGCGTTTCGTCGTCCAGGTTTGTTGGATAAACAGGAAGGAATGGAGTGCGATTTATGGCTACGATGTGTCAGGACGGTATCTGGTTGGGGTCAGAGGTTTCTTCTTTCACTCTTATGCAACCAATCAGGCACGTCTTTGCATTTATACAGACACGACTTGGCAGATCTTTTTGATTTCGCTGCCCTGTAACCTTGAACACTGGAAAAGACACTGCATGCACAAAAGACACATGCACATACACACTCTGAGCCGCGGAAACCGAAGCTTTCGTCGCCTTCACTGCTAATAATGAGATGCAGCAGGTTGATTTCACCCTGTCCACCTCTCTACGTAGAAGTCCTGTAAAGTGTGTAAATATATGTTTAATATAATGGCGTGTGCGTGTGTGTGTGTGTGTTAGTGATGCTACCCGGATCTTGTTTTATTCAGTTACCATTTAATATGACCTGACACATAAGGAGCCAAAGAGCAGGTGTGTGAGATATTCAGCTCTCATCCTGGCAGCAGCAAGTTTAACTTTCAGGGTGTTTTCTTCAACTGGAAGTCTAATTTCTTCACTTTTTATTGCTGTGTATCCTCTGAGATGTGCTGTATGACTGAAGGAGCTCTGAGAATAAACCTGGGATGCTTCCCACCCACTCTGCAGTGTTGGAGGATGGATGTGAAGCCGTGGAGGGTCAGTCTTCCAACATGCAGAGTGGGCTGCTGAAAGGCAAATTCAGCCTTAATTGCAGCAGCTCTATTCTTTCCCATCGGCTGGTGGAAAGAAGGTGGAGGGTGGTAACACGATGCAACACTAACAGCTGCATTTCCTTTTTCCTTTTAGCTCCAGACATGTCAGACCTCATCGTGGCTGTTTCACTTTAGAGCTACTTTCTGCTGCTGAAAATGTCTCCAAAAGTTTCAGAAACCTTGATGAAGATTAAGCTGCATTTTAAAATTGTCTGATTAAACCCAAGGTTTCTCTGAATTATATCAAACTTTCCCCAACAGGTCAAAGTTGTAGATACATTAAAAAAAATAAAAGTCTCTCAGGAACAGTAGCTATGAAAACACGACCTGTTGGCTTTTTTCTTTTCTTTTCTTTTTTTTTTTTTTTTTTTGAAGAGGCTGCCTGGTTCTGCTATGAATAAAATAGATGCAACATTTATTGCACTGAATTTCTGTTGCATCACATTTGGCAGAGTTATATTTGAGAATTTATAGAACAGTTTCAACAGCATTGGTGCTGTTTTTTTTAACTCTCTGATATATAGTTTTGATCAGAGTTCGCTGAGGTTACTGGGTCAGTTCCATGTCAGCTCACTGAACTTCCCCACTTCATGTCATGGAATTTATATTTGTAATGAAAAGAAACACTGTAAAGTCTTAGGGGAATGAAAAACAATCTATCCATCCATCATCTATACAACGCTTTATCCTCACTAGGGTCGTGGGGGCCTGGAGTCTATCCCAGCTGACTCAGGGTGAAGGCAGGTTCACCTGGACAGGTCATCAGTCTATCACAGGGCTACACTTAAAGACAGTCAACCAAGCACACTCACATTCACACCTACGGACAATTTAGAATCACCAATTAACCTCGACATGTTTTTGGACTGTGTGGGAGGAAGCCGGAGAACCCGAAGAGAACCCACCCAGGTGTCCTCACCAGGACATGAACCAGCGACTGTCTTGCAGCGAGGCAACGGTGCGACAAACTGCATCACCTTGCAGCCTGAAAAACAATCCCTCTTGGGAAAATATACAGTCAAAATAGCTTAAAAAGTGGATTTTTATTTTTAGCCATGAGTCTATATTTTGTACAACTAGAACAATGTTATTCCTATACAGAATTAAATTTTGGTTTTGAGACAGTAAAAACTAAATATTCATTTTTAAAAACTGAAGATTCCTTATTTGGGTTGAAATCTCACTGTTTTTGTGTATTTTGAGTTTTTGTGTACGTTGTAGAATAGTCAACCCAGTCCAACATTATGAAATTTGGCCAAAAGTTCCAAAAATTTATACCTAAAAAAATATGTGGAGAGTTTTAGAATTTGTGGACATGGTCTTTATTTAACAGACATTTTTCGTACGATTTTTTTCAAGAAAAAAAAGTGGGCTGGGAGATGTAGGTGGAATGAAATGACTTTTTTTTTTTTTTTTGGAATGACCTCAATCTGGCCTGCTAATGGGAGCAGAGTCTGCAGGGGACTCGCTGTATGTAAACATGCTCGGACTTCTCTCATCCATAGAGACCGAGGCTGGTCTTTCTGGCCTTTTGCAGCTGTTACTGACTAAATTTGGGGATGTTGTTTAATAGGAAATGAAGAGAAAATAGCATTGATTTGATGTCTCCTTGTCGAAATAATGGCTTTAGGTGCTTGATGTGCAGGATTGACCTCCCACTCATGTGATTCTCTGATGTAAAGAAATTGTGCTCACAATCAGTGAACGCGTTGAGAAGTGAGCGTCCACGCTGAAACAAGAAACAGGCATTCACAGCCGCCCTTCTTGGCCCGTCCCAAGGACATGACATTCAATCAAGTCAGAGCAGGTCAGGGAAACCTATCTGAGCATCTTCTTCATATTATATTGCAGCGCTTCTTTCCATCCACTGGAAAATCAGATGGCAAAGGCAGCGTCATGTTATTCTTTTGACGGGTGAGAACAGCTCAAAGGTCAGGAGCCGTGAACTCGTTCATGGAAGAACGCCGGCCGGAGAAACCCACCCCGTCTGGGAAAAAACTGAGAGAGGAAACCGGTTTTAGAAATCGGGGTGGATTAGACTGTAATATAAACTATTATGTAACCGCTCCAAGTGAAGCTGCGCAAAAAGAGCCCGTGTGAATTTCATAACTTAAGAAACACAAAATAAACAACAAAAAGAAATCACACTGAAGTGCACACACAGACAAAAGTTGTGTCTGTTCACACACAAAATGGGAATACCGAACTGTAAATCCCTAATTTAACTTTTATGAACAGTAAATGAAGACCTACTAAACTGCCAATGTGACAATTTAAAGTTGTTGTTTTTTTTTTAAATTATATAACTGTAAGAATTTTAATAATAATTTATTAATAATAATAATAATAAAAATATATCTCGTACTTATAAGAGTATAGTTTTATCACTACAACTTTATATTAAAATACTATATTAGGAGAAAAAACTAATATTAGTAATATTTTACTGCTTATGAATCGACTGTGTTGAACAGTAAAAGGGTGCTTAAGCAAAAATTCATTAGTATTAATAAATTCAAATGATTTAGAAATTAAATTTATATTGATAAATGACTTCAGTTGAGCGGCTGCAAGGTGGTGCAGGTGGTTAGCACTGTTGCCTCGTAGCAAGAAGGTCGCCGGTTTGCGTCCTGGTGGGGGCACCGGGATCTTTCTGAGTGGAGTCTCCATGTTCTCCCCGTGCAGCGTGGGTTCTCTCCGGGCTCTCCGGCTTCCTCCCACAAGGTCCAAAAACATGTTGAGGTTAATTGGTGATTCTAAATTGTCCGTAGGTGTGAATGTGAGTGTGCTTGGTTGTCTGTCTCTAAGTGTGGCCCTGTGATAGACTGGTGACCTGTCCAGGGTGTCCCCTGCCTTCACCCTGAGTCAGCTGAGATAGACTCCAGCCCCCCGTGACCGTAGTGAGGACTAAGCAGTGTATAGATAATGGATGGATGGATTTCAGTTGAACTAATACCTTTATTGTTACCTTTATTGTTTTAAGTCCATTTTTATGATTATAACATTGCACTTTACTTAAATCTAAGTCTCAATAGAGAACTTTTCTTGTAGTTGCATATTTTTATAATATACTAAAATGGATTTCAGTACTTTTTTAAACTGAATTTGTTGCCAGTCGTTCATTATCTGATAGAGATGCTTCACAGAGAGCTTTATAGCTATAGTAATACTTAAATGACTCTTTGTAACTGCTTACAACTCCATTATAATATGATTTAAACCATTTCATTCTTCTATGTTTAAATGCAAAATGATTTTATGAGTCAGGGAAAAGCTGACGGTATTTATTACTCTGAATCCTAAAAGCATTTAAAGGTAATTTATCTCCTCCATCTGTGTTTACACAAAATGAAGTTGTTGCAAAAATGAATAAACAGATTGTCTCGAGATGATTCAGCAAAAAAATCCCTCAAAAGGTTTAAACGCTGCTTTGCTTCTCATTTGATGCATTAGCCGGACAGTTCAGGGCAACGTGACTGAAACGTACGAGTGTTTACTGTCTGATCTTATTTTGCTCTTGGAGACATTCGTCCTCCAGCTGAGCACATCACTCAGCAGCACTTGCAGCTCCAGCCTCAACTCCTGCAGACGTACAGTATTTGATTACAGCAACAGGCTGATTGGATTACAGGAGGCACTGACTCGAATACCAACAGCAAACAGAGCAACTGGAGAACTTCCTGCTGGGAATGAGTGAGCAGAGAGCACACTGACTTCTGTCAGTCCGTCTGAAATCTGCTCTACATTCAAAAACCATTAGCGTCTAACTACTGTAGAAACTATCATCTCATTCGTCAAAATCAGCTGATCGCTTGAGAGTTTTTTCTGTCTGAAGCTGTTTGTCTTCATTTAACAGACGTCCTGTTTGGCATCAGCTCATATATTACATTGTTTTAACTGAATTAATGTCTTGAGTTCAATATCTAGTATCACATTTTCACCGTAAAGACCATAAAAGGTGCAAAACAACAATGTCACCATAAGATAATGACATAAATTGTATTTCTGGTGCCTACAACATAAAAATACATTATTGCAGAAACATGTGTCAACACTACAGCAGCTGACTTTAATTACAATAGTTACATTATTTGTGAAAATCTCAGAAAAATGCTTGAGTTCTCATTAGATCAGAGCATTTCTACAATTCATCCTTCGTTCTAAACTGCCCTCAGTGAAGCTTTGCAAAAGAGTCGTGTCA